CAACATACAGTATTTAATGGGTGCATTATCTGCAATTATTTGATGAAATAATACTTTTTGTGTGTCTGTAAGCCAAACTCACTGATTTTGCCAGGAAAGACATGTTCCTGGATCAACATTCCTGTTCAAAAAACGAACGCTATCCCAATCCATAACTTATCCATAAAATCAGAGAGGAACTGATGTAGAAGCACCTAACCTTGACATAAACTGTAAACCTGTCCCTCAAATCTGATTGGCTGATTGAAATGTCCTTCCAGGATTAAAAAAGATGCTGATCCAGGAACATATACATATTGAAATCATGTTCACCGTGTGGGTAACTGCAACAACATCTCTATAGGTGGGAAAAAAAACAGCAATGTAATAAAAGCCTACATTTTAAAACCGTGAAACAGTGATTTTCAACATGTAAAAATCAAAGAAGAAGAAAAAAAACAAGTTGGACCAAACTTCATGGTATCCATCAAAAACTGACTTTCTGATTGGTATAATATTCCCACATTAGCGGAAATGTACAACTCCTTTATTTGAGAAGCTGCTCTAACCCCTGTAATATGTGCTTCCAGAAAAGCTCTCGACCCGTGGAGATCCCCATGTTGTCCTTTATGTTCTTTTGAGTCTATTCATGTCCTTATTTAGCTCAGATGCTCCTGGTCTAATGACTGGAGCTCTACAGGGCCTCAATCTGCCCGTTTCACATTCTCAGAACAACGGCGCGCTAACGACCGACCTTTTTAATGCCGTCACCCCTTCATTCGCTGCTATAAAGCCCTTTGTGTGATTTAGGACAGCCTGTGGTCACCAATACAATTATGTGCAATTCATAGCTGTGCTGCCACGTGGTTGTAGTCTCTTTCAAACGAGGCTATCTGACCATTTTAGAGCAGATCATCATTAACTAGCCCCCGTACAAAAATCAACCAATCAATTTTTTTGATTTTATGGGCACATTTTACTGTTGACAGACATCTGGTTCATTCCTAATGTTGTGTAAAGCTCGTCTCGCCTCCTCACCTCTCTCTCTCCTGCTCCAGCAAGTTGGTGAAATCATCGCTTTTGTTCATGAAGTCGATGTGTTTGTGCTTTTCTCTGTCCAGTTCGGTGACGGTGCGCCGGTGGCATTTCTCAGCTAAGAGCAACTGCTCTAACATACGCCTGTACGTGTCACGCTGCTTCTCCTCCAAACGGTCCAGCTATAAAAACAATGATAATCATCACTAGCACAATAACATGCTATAATCTGCAATGCACATTGCATTTAATGTTCTTTAGATAAATTCAGGTTTAGAGATGAATAAGGCAGTGTTCCTCACCTCCATCATAGGTATCTCATACACATCGTCTCTAATCAAGTTGCTGCTGGTCATCAGACTGTCTCTCTGCAGAGCTTGAAGAGGTTTGACTGGAAGCGCAGACCCGTAATGAGCCTCCAGAACCTCGGGCCGTGTTCTCTCAGACTGCAGCATGTAGATGATGTCTTCACGGGCCTAAAACGATGGAGTCATTGCATCACTGTGGTACCATGGTACTGGATGTTCATCAATAAACAATACATTGGTACAAACATGACCTATGAACCTGTGAAATGTGAAATGATTAAAAAAATAATAAAATGTGCAAATTGTGCCATTCTGAGTGTACACCAGAAGGGGGAGCTCTCTGCTTTTACAAAACCAGAACACTAACACATCCACATGTTTTGGCTGTGTTAGTTTGTATACTGCACGCAGCATGCACAACATATACAAATGACCTATTCAAAGGTTTTGGGGCCTGTTACATTGTTTTATGTTTTTAAAAATCATTTTACACTCATCCATGTTAAGTTTATGTGATGAAAAATACAGTAAGGACAGTAATATTGTGAAATATTTTTCAAATTTAATTTTTATGTGATTATATGTTAAAACGTAATGTATTCCTGTGATCAAAGCTGAATTTTCAGCATCATTACTCACATCAGAAATCACTCTAATATGATGATTTGATGCTCAAGAAATATTTCTGATTGTAATACATGTTGAAAACTTTTTTCATCTTTTTATGGAAGCTGTGATCATTTTTTTTTATTTTTTTTCAGGATTCTTTGATGAATGATTCTGTATCATTCTCTTAACTGTCACTTTTGGCCAATTAAATGCGTCATTACAGAATAAAAGTATCAATTTCCTTCTTTCAAACAAAAAATCTGACCACAAATGTTTTCAAGGTAGTGTATCTCATTTGCCAAAAAGAGCAGTACACATGATACAGTAATTTAGAAATAATAACAAAATGGACGTCTCTGTGATGTACATGTGCTATCAGGTTACTTCAAAATTTCTTGTTTAATTCAATGTGTTAAATGCAGTTTCTTTGAAATTTATTTGTGAATTTCCAAGCAGTTAAAATTGTTACAAAGTAGACCCTACACCATTTTTTTCCCGCACTTTTACTGTAGTAATAATGGTATTTTGGCTATGGTAAACACACAACGAATGGCAACACGGAGTCACAATTCACCTGAACTTCTCCCTCCATGACCCCCAGCAGATGAACGAGATCTTCTTTGGAGAGGTCCATCAGCCCATCTCTCCTCATCTGCGTCTCACCAGTCTTCTGAGGCTTTTTCAGTGTCCCACAAACAACAACCTTCTCCTCATTGCTCTCTTTCTCCTCCTGAGCTTTGGGTTTCTTCCTCATCAGCTCCTGTTTGCTTCCCTCTTTCTCAACGTTGTGTATTCTAGCGAGCGGCTTAAGTGGTCTGTTCTCTGGCCCCTCCATATCGCTGGTCCTGGACCTCATCTTCACCTGGATGTGCAAACAAAGACATCAGCCTCAGATACACCTGAGACAACCTCCTGAAAACATCACAATGTTACAGCAATAAAACAGCTAATATCTTTCAGTATCTGATGCTGCCGTTTTTTGCAACCGTTCCAAATGTATATGAAAGGATTTACTTGGCATTACCTATGGAAGCTTGTTTCTGCCACAGAATGAAAAATAAAAAAGGTAATTGCGGCTTTTTATCTCGCAATTCTGACTTTATTTCTCAGAATTGCAAGATATAAAGTCAGAATTGTGAGATATAAAGTCAGAATTTCGAGATATAAAGTCACAATCGTGTGTTATAAAGTAAAAATTGCGAGATATAAAGTCGATTTTTTTGTGAGAATTGATTCATAGTGAATTGTGAGATATAAACTATTCTGAGGGGGGGAAAAATTTAGTCCCCTTTGAATTTGCCTGATAACTTGCAATTGCGACTATATCTCACAATTCTGAGAAAAGATGTCAGAATTTTGAGATATAAAGTTGCAATTATGTGTTATAAAGTCAGAATTGTGAGATGTTTATATTGTAATTTATTTGATTAGGATAAAGATGTAGATTAGATGTAAACTAGTAATTGTGAGAAAAAAGTCAGAATTGTGAGATAAAAAGTCTAAATTACCTTTTTTATTTTTTTTCTCGCTTTATTTCACAGAATTGCGACTTTATATCTTGCAATTGCGACTATTTCACAGAATTGGAACTTTATATCTCGCAATTGCAACTTTATTTCTCAGAATTGCGACTTTATATCTCGCAATTGCGACTTTATTTCTCAGAATTACGACTTTTTATCTCGCAATTGTGACTTTATTATACAGAATTGCGACTTTATATCCCGCAATTGCGACTTTATTTCTCAGAATTGCGACTTTTTATCTTGCAATTGCGACTATTTCACAGAATTGCGACTTTATATCTCGCAATTGCGACTTTATTTCTCAGAATTGCGACTTTTTATCTTGCAATTGTGACTTTATTATACAGAATTGCGACTTTATATCTCGCAATTGCGACTTTATTTCTCAGAATTGCGACTTTTTATCTTGCAATTGCGACTATTTCACAGAATTGCGACTTTATATCTCGCAATTGCGACTTTATTTCTCAGAATTGCGACTTTTTATCTCGCAATTGTGACTTTATTATACAGAATTGCGACTTTATATTTTGCAATTGCGACTTTATTTCTCAGAATTGCGACTTTTTATTTTGCAATTGCGACTATTTCACAGAATTGCGACTTTATATCTCGCAATTGCGACTTTATTTCTCACAATTCTGACTTCATATCTCGCAATTGTGATTTTTTTTTATTCAGTGGCTGAAACAAGCTTCCATAATTATATTAATTGGTATACGTCAAAAAAAAAAAGTTTTATGTTAAGGCAAAACCATTGTTTTTTATGCACTGATCAATTTAGAGATTTTGGGCTATTTGACTTTCATTACATTGTTTCAGACTAGTGAAAAGAAACATTGAAATACACTTTAAAGTGAAATATACAGATGCAAATAGATAAAATGCAGTAAAAGAAACAATTACAGTATATATATTTAAATATTTAAACACTTTTTCTGAGTCAGAAATGTCCTCTTCAGCAATTTTAGATACGCCTTTTATTCCTGTCTATATTCTGCAGCTTTTACAGAGGGGTTTGTTATGTTGCTTTTTACTTATTAAAAGACAAGAGACCAAAATCCCCTATACTTCATCATATTTTGAACCTGTGTTTATCCAATGTTCAGATTTCTGTTCTGGATGAGTGCATATTTAATTAGATAAACCGTATGTTACTGTACTTTACACATTATAGAAATCTTGTAAGTTTGCTGAATAAAAGGTGTTAAGGTTTTATGCATCAAATGTTTGAAGTAAAAAGCAATCCCTTTCCTACAGAAGACTCTCATATCTAATGTTTGCAGTTTGGAGCTCTGAGCCAAATCTTAATATTTTAATGTGTAGTTTTGCCCTTGTAACTAATCGGCAACAGCCTCGTTTCTCATGTTCCCATGTGCAGATTTAAGGGGGGGATTTTCCCAGAGAGAGAGGGAGAGGTAGAGAGGGGGGAGGTAATGACCGCTGAGCTCAACTATGACATCAGGACTTTTGATAAACTGTGTACACGCTGCCTCCCGTATGATCTCACACCCAGCCTATCAGGCCCGATCCAGCACTGCCC